AGAGATACGAGAAGAAGAAACGAGAAACGAGAAGGAAACGTGAGCGAAATTTGGGCGAAAAAGAAAGAAAAAAAAAAAGAAAGAAAGGAAACCGCGAAGGAAAAAAAAAAGAGGAGAGAGAATGCTTTAAATAAGAAGAAATAAGAAAAAAAGAAAAAAAAGAAGAAAAAAAAAAGGAAAAAAAAAAGAAAAAAGAAGAAAATTAACGAAAGAAAATAATAAAAAATTCGAGAGAGAGCGAGAGAGCGGGAGAGAAAGAGAGGGAGAGTTAGAGATAGAGAGAAAGCGCGCCACCTCGAGATGGGAAATCAATCCGAGGAGGGGAACTGAACTTTTTTATCGAAACTAAAAGACTATAATAATATATTTCTGTACGCAGTACCGCGCAACTACGTCATTGTGTGTTCACGTTGCATAATCCGATCGATAATAAGACTCTCGTTACGTACGCTCACTGTAGGCCACCTACTACCACCTACTACTACTGCTGCTACTACTATTACTACTACTATTACTACTACTACTACTACTACTACTACTACTATTACTACTACTACTACCACTACTACTACCACTATTACTACTACTACTACTACTACTACTACTACTACTACTACTATACTGCTACTATTACTATTACTCTCCATCACTATCAAACTACAAATAGCAGACTACCAAAACGACCGAAAGATCAATCGACCGATATCGATGATAATGGTGATCATAACGATGATATAACGATGATATAATTCAGTCAACAACGACGACGATGATGATAATAATGACGACGACGGCGATGATGATTTCGATGATTTGTGATGATAATGAGTCACCAATTATTAAGGCACAAACGCAAAACAAACCGTTGAACAGAATCGATCGCCGCGTTTCTAAGTATCTTTGCACGCAACTATAATAAATATATATATATTATATATATATATATATATACATAATATCACGGACGAACACGTACGTATTATCCATCCTCGAGGGAAAAAAAGTGATTCTAAACGCCTATAAACGCTCGAATACTCTCGAAAA